TTATACTCTGATGCTGAAATATGGGAGGTAAGTTTTATATCTTAAGACATACTTCAACATTTGTAATTTAATCCTATTGAATAGATAAATTTAGGACTCTTGTCAACCTATTCATCATTTTGGCAGGCACTAGAGAAGTGTCAACTTAAGATTACATTTACCAGCCTTCTGAATCAGCTGGACTCATCAGGTAAGTTCAATCAAGTATCCTCAGTCTAAGAATTGTTATTTCTTTTTCTCCCTCCTTTCCTTCTACATCAGATTGAATATTGCGTGTTTGATAAAACCATATATCTTCATAGTCGGTGATGAAGGTGAAAATTGGAGCATGGGGCAGCGCCAATTGTCTTGGAAGAGTCCTCTTGAGGAGAAACAAAATTCTTGTGTTAGATGAAGCCACAGCTTCCATAGACTCTGCAACTGATGCTATCCTTCAGAAAATTATTAGAGAAGAATTTTCTGAATGCACAGTAATAACAGTAGCTCACACTCTCACAGGGTTCCAACTGTAATAGACAGTGATATGGTTATGGTTCTTTCTAATGGTATGCTTCATGATCCTCATTCTTTGTTTACCACGAATAGCATTATACCTGAATACTGGACACCAACCATTGATATTTAGCCTCTTTAGAGCTTTCAGAATATTTTGAACTTCAGAGTTCTAATTACTGATATAGGCTGATGTGAAGAAATATGGCTGATCTAATTTGTGCAGGTGAGATGGTGGAGTATGATGAACCCTCTAAACTCATGCAAAGCAGCTCATCGTTTTCCAACCTTGTAGCTGAATATTGGTCCAGCTGCAGGGGCAGCTCCTTCCAGAAAATCGAGAATGCCTCGCAACAACATACCTTTTAAGATGTTAAATCATCTTTTATGTTCATAGACAGGTAATAGAATGTTGTATTTCAAGGCTCTTCAAGCTTAAAATATTTTTTAAGAAATCATAAACTAGAGCTAGTGGTTCCAATAAACACCTACAGAGTACTTATTTAAGCAAATGTAAACTTATTTCCAGAGATATTTATTCCAGAGCACGAACATACTAAGTTACCAACTAAGTTAACAAACGCAAAGGACATACAACAAACAAAACAAATTCATCTTTATAAGCAATGAACTAATTTAATCTTTCATCAATTCAATGTTTTAATTGTGGGATGATTTCAACTTGTATTAGTCTTCTTTGGGATATCCTCTGAAGCCAAGCAAGAGAAGCAAAAGATTAAAGTAGTCGACTTTGTAACCCACCCTACAAAACTCCAACTTAAACGCGTTCCATGGAGGATACCTTGCAGACAAATCAGGAAAGTAGCCTCGGTACAGCACGGATTTCTCATGGCTAAACGCATCAAAAGAGTACTTTCCATGATATTTTCCCATCCCGCTCTGTCCTACTCCTCCAAATGGCAGCTCATCACAAATATACTACAAGAACATCAATCAAACAACCACCGTATCTAATTAGAAATAAGCAAAAATAAAAAATGGTATCATTATTTTAACATGGACTTAAGATCATGAGCATTACCTGAATTAAAACATCATTAAAAAGCAAACTTCCAGAGGAAGTTTCTGAGACTATCCGCTTTTTGAACTTATTGTTGTGTGTAAATGCATAAAGAGCAAGTGGCTTTGGTCTCATATTGATGAATTCAATACTTTCTTGAATGTTCTTCAACTGTCTCATAAAATCTTTTATCAGAAAACTTTGTACAGGATACCAAAGTAGAGAAACAAAACACTAACTTCATACTGAGAGGGAACAAAAGGAGTATATATATGTTCTTACAGTTATAATTGGCAAAATTGGGCCGAATATCTCCTCGTTCATGACCACAGAATCAAGTGGAGGATTTAGTAAGATAGTTGGCTCAATAAGCCTGCAAGTGAAGAACTCCTCATCTCATCAAAAGAATTAAGAATCTCCCATTTTTATAATAAAATCAGATGGAACTTTACTTTGGGAAGCTTTTCTATTGATGGATTTTTGTAAGAGAAGAAATTTACAAATTTTTTTCGTCGTATGAGCCTCCATGCACAATTGAAGCTGCCACTGCTGGATCCTTAAGATAATTACACACTCTGTCAAAATGATGCTTATTCACACTCCTACTGATATTTCCCAAGGTCTCTATGTTCTCCCCATAAAGTCTTCTCACTAACGTTTTGAGCAAGTCAACCTAAAACAATTATACTGATTAAATGACAAGGAAGGTGGTGAAGATTTGTCTGTACAAAGTACATGGATGGAATGTATGTAATACCAATGAGGATGCAAACTTCTCCTCCACAAGCACATAATCTATAGCAATGCAAGCTTGTCCACAGCAAGCGCCCCACTTAGCAGATGTAAGCCTCCGAATAGCCACCTTACACAAATATGTTGAGTTCAACAAGATTAAATTAGACACAGGAGGATAAAGCTTAACACGAATTTCACATTCTTTTATGACTGCAATTATAGTTGAAGCCGTGACATACCTTGAGATTAGAGGAGATTGAAGAGTAATCAAAGATGATGGGGCATTTACCCCCAAGCTCTAAAGTCACAGGCGTTAAATGCTTAGCAGCTTCAGTCATCACTATTCGACCAACCCTTGGACTTCCTAATCAGATTAAGTGGCATACATTGTTTAACCGAATTACAGTAGCTAGAGTTATTTCTTCATTAAAATTAGTTAGACAAATAATAATGGTAGCTAATTATTGGGAACACACCAGTGTAGAAAATCTTGTCCCATTTCTGTTGCAAGAGCTGCTGGCTAACATCAGGTCCTCCTTCAATGACCTTAATTGCAGTGTTATCCAAGTACTGAGGAATGGTGTTAGCAAGAAACAAAGAGGTCGCCGGTGCCATCTCTGAGGGCTTTATGACAACCGCATTTCCTGCAGCTATAGCTCCAATCAATGGTTCCAATGCCAAGTCTAATCATCAAAATTGAAACATCATTATAGAATCTAGTCAGTTAATTGTTATACTAGTACTAGTACGGAGTATTAAAAAACCAAAAAAGTAATGCCGAACCTAAAGGGTAGTTCCAAGATGTCATAATGAGAACAAGGCCATATGGTTCTGGTACTACTTCTCCCTTGGCAGGGAAAAATAGCAATCTAATCCCAGCCTGCACAATAAATTGCATTTAACAATTTTACGTACTGTATTATATACTTCATACTTTCGTACATGTCGTATAACAAATTAAGAAAAGAATCCACCTTTTTGGGAGCCATCCAGTTCTTCAGGCAACTCAAAGCATGGACGACAGCTTTCTTTGAAGGTCCAACCTATCAATGTTGATTAGAATTAGAATATCAAATGTTTGTCAAACAGATCAAGAGTAATGAGTTATGATTATTCTAATAAAGTACGGAGCGTGTGACATTGTCATAATTTGTCAATTGTACTAATATACTCGATTAGAATTTTAAATTTTATACAAAATATACATGTACAGGGCTATACTGATGAAATTATGCATGTAATATGATATCAATGTGTATGCCTATAATGAATGGTACAGTAGTTGGGCATTTGTGTTGGGTAGCTAATATGTGTGTTTCACGTGTTGGTGTGTTGTGGGTGCGTCAAAGGCACATGCATCATGCGTGCACTACATCCCACCTCACATGCAACAAGGCCTTTTTTTTACAACACATTACACTACAACCATTGCAAACAAACACAAAGGAACTAAATTTTCTTCATAGCATTAGTGCTGCTTTACACTATACAAGTCATGACATCATATAAATGGTAATCAAAAGAGACAGATAATTAAACTAAGCTAAATCATTTGGAGGACTATATGGATCCAGTTGTAACATACCTCATACCGCCTTCTTCGTCCCTAAAATGTGTTATATTAATATATTACCAATATATTTATGCACAATTTTGGTTAAAAATGATAATAAAAAGCTATGATTATGCAAAATATTGCCAAAACACCCCATATATAAAGATACCACTTTGTCCATACACAGGGTTGCATTAAATACATCTCCAATTTAGCAACGACAATATGTGGAAATCCACTACTGATCCATCATCTATGTAATTTAATAATCTATCATAGCAAATTCCCTTTACCTTTCCCCTCCCTTCAACAAAAAAGACAAATATACATTAATTAATATGAGCTAGTTCAATTATTGGTTAAAACAAAATTTTACCAAAACTTTACAGTAACATGCTAAAATTAGATTTTTACTAGACATCTAGACTTTAGTGAAACTTGATTATATATATTAATTAAATAATACGTATATAAAAGAGACATAAGAATGGTAAAATATGATTGAAAAATAATTTTAAAAAAGCATGAAAGATTTAAGGATAAGAATACCTCATCCTTGAAAGCTTCAATTTTGCTCTTGCCAACATCATCATAAAGTGCTTGAAAACACTTGTTTTCTTGGTCTGTAACCATTTTTTAAGAGAGATTGAAGCTGTGCTTTCCTCCATTCAAAAGTCTTTGTCTTTCCACTTTTGAAGGTCTCCCTTAGCTCATCTAAGCTCTTAGTTGATCTTTGATCCATTTTCTTTAATTGTTGGTTAGTGTTTATAGCCTCGATCTTACGATGATATCATATTATATAGTACATACACTAACTTATTCTCATGTGAAAGAAAGAAAGGTTGCTTTACTGGCAAAGATAAACGTACGAGAGTTGCCGCTGAAACACCGTGAATTTCCAACTAACCAAATAAATGAGCACATTTAATAAGTGGGGGCGGCTAAACTTAACGTCAATTAAATTATCCTTGATAATTTAAGCTGTATAAACTACACTACATTACTACCAGTACCGAGTAGCAGTATGTAGCCAGTAGATCCATATTTACTGTTTGGCATGCCGCATGCACCCTTGACTACCCTACCGTAGATTTTTATTATTAAATGATTCTTTGTAATTTTTATTTTTCCACATCATAATATTAGATTATAAGGAGTAAGGTTTTGTAGAATGGATTACTCTAGTTTTCTCTTGTAAGGTAATCTACGACAACTCCTTTCTAGGATGGGCTCACGACAAAATTTTTTTAATCATAAATGATCTTTTATAACGGGTTTATGATGAGAATTCTGTTGTTAATGGGCTCTTTTCCTGCATTGTATTGATATAATTATGCTCATTTTAGATTGTCAGGCCATATTATAATTCGGGTATTTTTAAGTTTTGATTTATTGTAGCCAAATTGATGGAGAGTAAAGTTGTAATTGACTTGTTATAGTGTTTTTAGGAAAAAAAAAAAAAAAAGCAAATCAATATGGTTGGATGTTGGATCTGAAAAGCAAGCAGCCAAAAAGAAATAAAGGTGGTGTGGATGAATGTAACATCAAAACCATGAGGATTATAATTTAACTTAAAAGCACGAGCATAATTAAGCTTAAGCATGAGAGGGTTATGTTTTTTTTAGGAAATAACCCATTTATTACTTTTTCCTTGTTTAATTTTCCCATAGTACTGATTACACGTATATAGATGAGTAGCACTATTCATTACTACTTTTTTTGTTGTATGTTGTTTTATTTTTGGCAAAACGAGTACCTCCTTTCTTTTACAGGCATGTTCCATCAACTACTCCTATCTATGCTTTATTTTAACAGGACGATGCTTTAATTATTAATGCAAATGACACATTATTTTACTACACTAGTACAATTCCACCTTTATTCATCTCTTGTTTCTTTCTTTTATTACTCCGTATAAGGCAGGAGGTGAAGCAATAAAGAGCATAACATAAGAGATTTGTTCAATTCGTCCATAAAATAGCAAAATTAAAGAAAATGGGAAGAGGAAAACTAGAAATAAAAAGGATAGAAAACACAACCAACAGACAGGTAACATTTTCAAAGAGAAGGAATGGTATAATCAAGAAAGCTCAAGAACTTAGTGTTTTATGCGACGCCAAAGTTTCCTTATTCATCATCTCCTCCTCCTCCACCAACAGACTTTACCATTACATCACCCCCGGCGTCGAGTATTCCTCTACATACTTTCTTTTTTATTTTGTTAATTATTTAATTTCTACTTATTTACTAATTAAGCTACCTCTTTTATGCTTTTTCCCACTGATTTAATTAAGTCTTAAGAAGATGTATGACGAGTATCAGAAGGTTGAAGGTGTTGATCTCTGGCGTAAACACTACGAGGTTCTTTATTTTTCGACCAAATTAATTACTGTAATGCATTCATCACTGTATATATAGCTAGAGCCATAGTAGTTAACGGGGTCTAAATATGATCGACGCAGCAAATGAAAGAGCGAGAGAGAAAGCTAGCTGAGGTCAATAATACGCTGCGAACAGAGATTAGGTATGGTATAGCGCTTATCACATGCAATAGTATGCAATATCATTCACCCTAACTAGCTGGTTCTATTATATGATATTGATATATATGATATATCATTCAATTCAAAAATTTCCTAATACATATTTTATTTATAGCCGAAGGATGGGAGGAGATCTAGAGGACCTCACTATAGGAGACTTGCGCTGTCTTCATCAACAGATGGATCAAGCTTTGGATCTTATTCGTAATCGAAAGGTAATTTTCTTTTTCAGTTAATCAAATATCAAAGTTTTATTTATTATATAACTTAGCTTAGGAGAGTAGTCTTAGACACCTAGTGGTACACCAAATACATATGGAGTACATACATAAGACACCTTTGATTAAGTAGATATCTAGTGGAATTTCAAAAGATCGATATTATGTTTACATCTCAGTTATTTATTACACTTGATTAATTTGAAATCGACTTATAGTTGATCTGCTTTAACCTGCCTGATTGTGATCTCTTGTCTTAATTATAAAACAATTATTTGACACTTTATAGTCACTTGTGATCTGTACCATAAATAAATTCAGGTCTCCAACTTTGATACAAAACTTTTATAAAAGTGAATTTGTTGCTTGCTTCATAATTTTATGTAAACTAATTAAATTTATAAATAATGCAGTATCATGTCATCAAAAATCAAACTGGGACTAGCAAGAAGAAGGTTAGCTGTATATTTATTTATGTACCCCTGCATTATCTACTGCTTTAGCTGTAGAATAATATTAGCTATTTATTTTCCATTTTGGAAATTATTTGCTATTTAGTTCATTATATATAGTACCTACAGTAGTCATCTAAATTATCTAATACTCATTTACATCCTTACATTATTTTATTCAGGTTAAGAGCCTTGAGGAAATTCATGGAAACCTTGTCATGGATCTTGTAAGCATATCTTCGATAAAAAAAAAATTCTAATAATGCATGATGAATATATCAGTTATAACTAATGGTTCTATTTGGGTTTGATGATTGAAATGAAAGGAAACGAGATTTAGGGCCCCGGGATTTGGTATAGCAGATGATGATCAGGGTAACTATGAAGCTGCTGCTGTGTATTCAGACAATGGAGCAGCAGCCAACTTATTTGCTATGAGTCGCCATCCTCGACATTCATAATCTTCAGCAGGGAGGAAGGTTAGGCTACAGCAATGTCCATGACTTGCGTCTTGCTTAGGATCAAGATCCTCAGTGTGCATGCATGGTTCAACAATTCGATCAATGTTAATTTTTCAATGATAACAATTAAGCTCAATTATGTATGTAGCTGTAATATTGTACGAAGTAGTAGTTTGAGAGATTTTGAATCATGGCATAATAGTCCTTTTAATTATGTTAATATTCAATTAAGAATTTAATATGAGATGATTCCAAAGGCAGTGTTAATAAGACAAAATCTGGGTCAAATAGCCGCATTTAGTCATCGGCTACTGACAAGAAAAGGGTAATAGGTTAAATTAGGAGGCACTAATTATATTTCAAACAAGAGTTTAGTGGTTGCCCCGAGAAAGCTCAAAGCATTGCTTAAGAGTTTGCAGCAGGTACATACCTTGGTAACAATTACAATTACAAATTTCAAGTTGAAGGTATGTCTGTTTTCTTGATATTCAAACTATAGTACTATTATATATATAAAAACCAAATTATACGAAAGTAATATAAGTCTAGAGTTGTTACCTAGCGATCCAAATGTGCCAAGTGATGGTAATTGGAGATGAGAATCCTCCATAGTTCCAAATGTTTGCCCTGCAAATGAATTTAATTATAAATCCAAAAATCCTATAAAACAAACGAGTACATGAGTATTAGTAGTGTTAGGGGTACCAAATTTCAGGGACTTGAATGTATCATGTATGCTACTCAGAAATACTCGTATGCATTAAATGATTGTCTTCAAAATTATTCCAAGCAATTTGCTTCTTATTGGTAGGTTTTCATTAATTATTTTTGTAATAACATTTGTAGTCCAGTACTGTATACATTAAACACTTTGAGTATACTATAACAGAAGATAACCACCAATCCACCAGTCCGGAGTCATTATGCCCGCTTAATATTGTCGTTAATTTGTTACAGATCTGAAATATGATGCCCCTGGATGATACATTTACTCATTTTTTATTTCAGTATATTAAACAAAAGTACATAACAAAATTATAAAGGTAGTGGTAGCTTAAACAAGACCCAACCCAAAAATGGTACCAGTAAAATACTTAGAAAATTAAGGGAGAAATGAAGTGAGTAAAAAAAAAGTGAAGAGAAGTTGCAAATGGATTGAGGAATGAGCACTAGAGTGTAGAGCAGGCATTGGCATTCATTCAAAAATGGTTTCTCTCTTACGTAGTTACATTACATAAATACATACGCTCCCTCTTTAGTCTTTAGTCTTTATCTAGGGAGTATTTATTTATCTCTGACAGCACCCGTGAATCCAATCCCCAATCCCCCACTTTTGTCTAGTATTATTAACCCAGGAATCCCCTTTATCTGTTTACTCATTTCTCAACTTGTTCTTGTTGATAATGGGGAATCCTGTTCCGGTAGAATTAAGCAGCAGTAGTGTGTTATTAGGTTTGTTGGCCCTTTCAAGCTTGTTCTACAATGCAGCTTCCACAACTTACTGGAGAGACATCCTTGTTTTGAAGCAACTCAAACTCGGAATAGACCCAGACTCAGTGAGTCCTGGTTCATGCATCAGCTCCTGGGACTTCTCCCATGACCCCTGCGACACCCTCTTCTCCGATAAGTTCACCTGCGGCTTCACCTGCGACACCCTCCCCTTCCCTTCACAAGTCAGTCGGGTCACTGAAATCGCTCTTGACCAGGCCACTTACTCCGGCACCATCTCCTCCATTTCTTGGAACCTCCCGCTTTTGCGATCCCTTGACCTCTCCGGCAACAACTTCTCTGGCCCTATCCCTGCTTCTCTCTCTAACCTCACTCGCCTCACCCGACTCATCCTCTCTACCAACTCACTCTCCGGTCCTATTCCCGACTCCCTGTCCCGACTCACCCACCTCCAAGACCTCCTTCTCGACGCCAATGCTCTCACTGGTCCCATCCCCCCCAGCTTTTCCGAGTTGCTCAATTTGAAGAGGTTGGATATTCAGGGCAATCAACTCACCGGCGAGCTCCCTGACCTGAGTCCGCTCACTTCCCTCAACTCCCTTGATTGCAGCCATAATTCATTCTCAGGTCAACTTCCACCCAATCTCCCGCCTTCTCTGCTGGAGATATCAATGAGGAACAACAACCTTGGAGGACCTTTACCTTTAAAAATAGGAAAGCTGCCATTTTTACAAGTTCTAGACCTTAGTTACAATCAACTGAGTGGCTCTGTCCCACCGAGTTTCTTCACTCACCCGAGTCTCCAGCAGCTGTCTCTCTCCTACAACAACCTCACGTCAGTTGAGGTGCCCACTGGACTCGGAACTCAGTCAGGACTCATAGCGATTGACCTCAGTAACAACCACTTGACTGGGCTGTTGCCGGGTTTCATGGGCCTCATGCCAAAGCTCTCAGCTCTATCGCTGGAGAACAACACCTTCATGGGAATGATACCAACCCAATATGCATTCAAAGCGGTTTGGCCACAGCCTGGAATCGCCCCATTTCAGAGGCTATTATTGGGTGGGAATTTCATATATGGCCCTATACCCGACCCGCTCATGAAGCTCCACCCAGGTTCCAGCCTTATTAGTTTGGTCAATAATTGTTTGTTGGTGTGTCCGAACACCCTTTTCTTTTGTCAAGGTGCCAATCAAAAGTCTTTGCTGGACTGTAGAAACAACATTGGCCCTGTTATTCCTTGAAAATCATCTATATTAATTATGATTTATGGATTATTTTGCTATATTTGTTCTAGTGTAGACTCTTTTCTTTTCTGATGTCTTTTTCTTTTCAATTAATCAAGGTCAAAATAGACAACTCTATAGTTTAATTCGACACATTTTTCAGACAAAAAGATAAGAGTGTAGTGTTAGTACCAAGTATAAAGGGTTTTATATTTTGAGGAGTTGTAGAGAATGTATGGACAAAATTTTAGCATTTTTTTTCCCACAAACTTCATAACAACAATCACTTCATTCTTGCGGAGGATTATGATTATAAGGGTTACAATTGTTTAAAAAAAAAAAAAAAAAGAATGAGTAGTAGGTTAAGTTAGGCAATGCCGTACAGGATGGCCAATGGTACATGCACGCACGGCGCAGCCCACATTCTGTCAACATCCCCCTTGAAAAAATACTGGTAAAGTGGAGTGGTAATGAAGTACTGTATATATTGAAAAATGGAGAGTGAACAAATTGTTAGGCTTAAATTAAAATTAAAAATGAACACATATAATGGCATGTGGGCTCATTTCTAAAATCTAATCAGGCCCAATTTGAGCCATGTTAGCTTAATCCATGCCCAATTTACATAAAGAAACCCCTATTATCATGTTAATATAGTACGGAGCATTCATTATTCTTCCCCAACTAACCAAGTATGTGATCATTTATTTAATTGACATCAAATCACAAGGGCACGTGATATGGAAATCAAATAACTTACGAGTAGATGATTTCAGGTTTTGATGATCAACTAAGTTATGTTAATAAGTTTATGGAAATTAAAAGTCCCATATGATTACATAGACATAGTAGTGTATAAATGAAGTGAAGAAAAGAGTTAATTTGATTTATCTTATCATAATATCATACCTTCTCCTTCAGCGATGCAGGATAGGGGGTGCAGGTCTTTTAAGATTCTGACAATCCAGAAAAAAAGGTGGACAACTTTCCCAAATCCCAATAATAGTGGTAACTCATCCCACATGTTAGTTAGAGTTGGGCACGTGATATGAATACCTGTTGCGGTGTGAGAAACTCGTAGCTCAACGTAGCGTACTCTCAACTGATTGGGGCTGAAATGAATAAAGCTGAAATGAAAGAAGGAAATTGGAAATTGAACTAACTAAAATTAAGTTGAACAAAACAGCCCTTAGTCGGCCAGTCATGTTAAGGAACTACAGCCCAAACCCAACCTCAATATAAATCTAATCAATCAAGCCGTTAGTTTAAAGGATATAACTACGCAGATAATGATGTCATAACATAGACATAATAATACTACAACGTAACAAGATATTTGGATAATAGCTTAATAATGGAGCATATGTCAAAAAAATGAGCTGTAACTGTAAGTCAAAGTCAATTACATGGAACACCGAATTTACCACTTGCTTCATTCCCATGATTAAAACTTGCTCCTATGATCCTATCTCAACTTCCAAGTTCCAAGCAATATGGCCCGGCTGATTCATTCATATTTAACGTGCTCATGCGTCATGCCCCAACTCACTGTTTTATAATGACATGCTGACGTGCCAATGGAGGTCTAAGGAGCCTTCTTTCTTTGACCCAATATCACATTACTACCTGTTTTTTGTAAAACATACATCACTAAAATTAGATGTCAACTACCTTATTTGGGTTAAGACTTTTGAGGTAATACGGCACCACATATGACTTAGGGTCTGTTCTCATAGGCTAAACTGAGCTGAACTGAAAACAAACGTATGAGAACAGACCCTTAAATTGTACTACCTCCGCTTTTTTTTGTTGACACATTTCTATTATCACGCTAGCCAATGCATGTTTTTAATGCTTAATATCTCTAATTATCAACATTGTAAATTATAAAAAAATAGATATTAATAAAATATACATTAAGAAGATTCAAACAAGATCCTACATGACTATATTTTATTGTATCTATAAGTCACAAAATCGAGTCAAAGTGTAATGTGTGAATAGTATAAAAGTCAAACGATGTCAACTAAAAAAAAAAAACGAAGGTAGTATCTCTCCACATCAAATACTTTCATGCCTATCTATACAACAAAATACCAACAATTAAACAACTAGGTAGCATTATGTTTAGATTGCGTGTACAAGTAATTACAGTATTACTACAAGATTCATCAATCCCTATATTCAAGCTTAAGTTTTACACAGAAAGCAAGGACATTAGCCGTTATTCCATTTATTAGCTTGTCCATCAAACTAAATACAAAGTACAATTACTGAATTACTCAACTAGCTACTCTATAAGTTAATCCCTTAAAACCCATATACTTGTATAATATACTACCACTGTCTGCAGAAAATTAAAATAAGGATACTTCAGTATAGTACTACCAGTTACTACTAGAATCCTACACTGCTAATACGAGTAAAATAAAAATCATAGTTTAAAACTTAATTTTATATCTTTTATTGACCAGCTATTTCAACGGAAACCACCACCATCATTGATAACAACACCTTGTATGCAAACAAAGTCGTACTTTTCAACCCCAGTTTGCATTATAAAAAGGAACCCATGCATGGTCTTCTTTCACCATTATCCATTCATTGCTCCTTGCCAAAATCAACCACATTTTTAGCAATCATGCAAATATTTACAATTTCTTTCCCCCTCATTTCCATTCTTATCTTCACTAGTACATTCTACTCAACATTTGTAGAATCCTGCGATAACATAGACAAAGAAGCATTGCTCGATTTCAAGCATCACATCACCAATGACCCATCAGGGCTACTCAAAACTTGGGTCTCCAAAACAGACTGCTGCACTTCTTGGGCAGGTGTGGACTGTGATCATGCCACGGGAAGGGTAGTTAATGTCTCAGTGTCTGGTCTCCAATCTGGGGACGACTTCATCTTGGATACCTCTATGACAGGTACGCTCTCTCCATTTCTTGGCAACCTTACCTTGCTCCAACTCCTTGATCTTAGCAACAATAAGGAGCTAATTGGTCCCATCCCACCTGAACTAGGCAAGTTGTCACATCTGACCCTTCTTTTTCTAGACACAAATAAGCTAAATGGTTCCATACCCACTTCACTTGCAAACCTTCATAGCCTACAAAAGCTATACCTAAGTGACAATAAACTCTTTGGCTCCATACCCAACTCTATGTTTCAATCAATGCCATCCTTATTGGAATTGGGCTTATCCGGAAATCAGTTATCCGGACCAATGCCAGCATCGATTGAGAATTTGCTTAAACTTACTAAGCTTGACCTTAATACCAACAATATCTCTGGTAAGATTCCAATGGAAATTGGCAAGCTAAAAACCCTTGCATACATAGATATGTCCTCGAATGATATCAGAGGGAGTATACCAGATTCTATTGGTGAACTTTCTCGGCTAAACCTTTTATATCTAAATGATAACAAACTTACAGGACCCATTCCTTCATCCATAGGCCGACTTACTTCTTTGCAATTTCTCAGGCTTTGGAATAATAAGTTGAGTGGTGTTTTACCAAATTCCATCGGGAATCTTCCCCAAATCCAGAGGATGTACTTAGATAACAATATGATCACAGGAAAATTGCCATCAAGTTTAGGACATCTTAGTATGCTAACCGACATGTCCTTTGCAAACAATCACTTTGTAGGCCAAATCCCATCTACTTTTGGCAATCTCAAGAACCTCACATTACTGGATTTGTCTGGAAATCAGCTTGTTGGCCCCCTGCCGCCACAACTTGCTCAACTACAGCTGTTACAGACACTCACCTTGTCTTTCAATCCACTAAGGCTGGTGACAATACCCAGTTGGATCTCCAAGTTAAACCTCTTTCAGCTAAATTTAGCTGGGACAGGGCTCAAAGGGCAGCTTCCCCAGTGGCTATCCTCCACACAGATTACTTATCTAGATTTATCTAGTAACGAGCTCACAGGGAAGTTGCCTTCATGGATAGGGAATATGAGTGGTTTATGGTTCTTTAATATATCCAACAATGGATTCTACTCTGTCATTCCAGTAGAATTTAAGAAGCTCTCGAGCCTCCAGAACCTTGATCTTCACTCAAACAAGTTCTCTGGGCCATTACAAATAATTCTCACACAAGGGTCTTACACCAATATCGATGTGTCTGGTAACATGTTCACAGGCCCACTCGATATAAACATAGGTAATAAGCCCACCATGAACTCTATCACTTCCTTAATCTTATCGAATAACCCATTAGGAGGATCCATACCAAAGTCGATAGGGATATTAACTCGACTCCAAGTTCTAAAAATGGTGGATAACATCTATCAGGAAGAATACCCGAAGAACTTGAGAATGCCAAGGAATTGACAACGATTATGTTGTCAAGGAATAGCTTAAGTGGAAGTATTCCAAGCAATTTGTTGAATCTGAGGAGCCTGCAAGTATTTGATGTGTCGAAAAATAAACTAAGCGGGGCGATTCCTCCGCACAAGACTAACATTCCTGCCTCTGCATTTTCAGATAATGCAGGGCTTTGTGGAGCTCCGCTTCAGTCTTGTAAGCATTGATACTTGATTGTGGTCCTTTTGTCAATCAAGTATTTACATTTCATTTAGTGTTTTTTTTTTTTTTTATTTAAAAAAAAATTGTTATAATCAAGTTTATGTAGATGTAATTTTCAAATGTATCTTTTTATTTTTCAAAATTTCCAACCACAATACAAAGTGATTATCCATTTAAGAGCAAAGAACTGTAAGGCTAATGAAATTAGGACATAGGAGCTATTAGTAATGTTTATTTGCAGGTCAAAACGTCTTGCCATATATGAATTCATAATCTGTCTACAAAAAGCTGTTAATAATACAGATTATATTGATCCATGGCTAATACTTGAATACCTTATATCCAAATGTTAACCTTATGTCCTATCAAATTCGATGATAGGACTGTCTTGATCTCACATGTTATAGACCATTATTCAACTCTTATAATTAACCTTACCATATATTCAATCCAAATTGACTTAATCTGCTCGACTGAATTGCAATCGACTATTGTTTTAGTGATTACTGTATTCTCTCAGCTTGTGCTACACTTAGGATTGGCTTCATTTAGGACAAGTCCAGATCCTATTTATTACTGGAAGGAGAGTAGATTCAATGATTCATTCCTTTCCTTATCAACCTTACCTATCTTCAACTCCCTCGATCTTAGCAAAAACAAGAAGCTAAGTGGTCTTCTTCTGCCTGAATTAGGCAAATTATCAATTTAAATTTCCTCGAAATAAATCAGCTAAAAGGTTCGGTACCCACAACTCTAAGTCAGCTGATCAGCTCCATGAGCTTAAAAGGTTATACCTTAGTGACAATGCCTCTCTTCGACACCATACCCAGCTCTAGTTTTTATCAATAACACCTCTATCAGAATTGGGTATCCTAATTCTATTGTAATAATCATCATATCAGTACGCTTGACTTAGCAAGGGTTTGAAATCCTTAGAATTCAAATTTTGCAAATAACAAATTACGGAGTACAATATTTAGATTTTACAGCAAAGGGAAAACGAACATTAAAAGTAAAATTAGGGATGCACATACTTACTGGAAAAGAAGAAATGCATCGCATCTATCTTCAATGTTGAATCTGAAAATGGAAAATAAACACCACCCAAAGAGTGTAACTTAAATAAAATTAAGAGTGCAATCGAATTAAATTTCATCCAATACCTAAATTTGTTGGAAGTTTCCAAGCGATAAAACGGAGAAGCAAAGACCTTCAAAACTCAGACAAGTGACAGAACCTCTATGCTTTGAAAACATTGCTACTTCCGGAGAATGACAATTTTTTAGATGCTTAAAAAATGGCAAAGTAAGCTTAAAAAATCAGAAAGTATCCAACCCGAAACGACTGGTGACCTCACCGACCTTATTGACATGTCTAGTTGTAGACTTGTAGGTGGAACTGGTAGTGCAATTAAAACTAACTAGTAATGTAACAAGTCTATAGCAAAATAGCAAAGCAATGGTCCAATATCGGACTCAAGCAGTTCAAACACCAAAAAAAATTAAAATTATTATGGACTAATTGTGCCACCACAATTGGTTGCAACCAAGATCAGACTAGGACTAGGGATGTCAGTGGGGCGGGGATGGGTCTAGGTTTGGCGGGTGGCAGGGCGGGGATAGGGATAAAAATCATACCCGCTATGGATGATGGGGCGAGGGTGGATTCTAAGCTATACCTGCCCCGCCTGACCCGCCCCCACCCCCACCTTATACCCATCCCGTAGCTATATTGTACTAGTAATACACCATAAAGAAATTCCAACAAAGTATGGACACAACTCTCTACATTTCATGATTCTTTTGAGCACCCAACTGTAATTGCCAGGTGCCTTATTGTTCCACCAGTCTTCTCCATGGCACTTTAGGGGATTGAGGTCTCATGTGATTTTACAGGGCTTTGATACTCCATTTGCAGATCCATTTGTTACATTTCATTCACAACCCACAATAATTAGTTTATAAAGTTCTAATTTGTTTGAAATTGAGAATCAATTAATCTTGATTAACGTTCTTGTAAGCCTAAATTCTTAGGCATCATGGTTATCATAACTACTCATGATCATGGTTATTTTTAGATGATGATGCTTGCTGAGGATGTTGTTGCTGATGATGATGATAATGATGTATGATGATGGTGATGTATGATGATGATGATTTATGATGATGATGTATGGATTTTATGGCGGATTCTTTTTTTTTTTTCTTTTTTTCTTTTTTTAAAAAATGTTTTATGCGCATATCTTTTTATGTTTTATGCGCATATCTTTTATGTTTTATGCGGAAAATGGATCAAATTATTTTCTGGGAAATTGGATCAAATTATTTTATGGAAATTGGAACAAGTTGTTTCTTACAACTTTGCCTCTTTAACTTTGTCTCTCACTAAGTAATGGGCTTCTCACGTTGAAGTGTTGAACACATAACTTTTTCATTTTTTAGAAATAAAATACGGTATGTTAATTGGAGTGTTTAATAATGTAATGATAAAGTTTCATAACCAATGGCGCCAAGTAAGTTTAGAATGAGCGCTTACGTAAAATTGTTTTTAAATGTGTGTTTGTATATGTCATTAACAATTAATAGTTTTCTATTTATAAAGAAGTTTATTAGGCCCAAGTAGCTTGCCATTATAGTGCTTCAAAATGAATCAGGCCCATTTAGTGTTTATTAATGCTATAGCTATGATGTCTCAAATTCCCAAAATATATATAAGCTAATGTATTATGCACATTATATATTGTGGCATTTACATTTTACTACTTGACTGCAGTGCGAGGATTAGACATGTGAGACACCCATAATGGGGGTGAAGACTTTGGCGAGCGGGGGCAGTGCGAGGTCCGCACCGACAAGTCCGGGACATGTAAGACATCCTCCCGGGACTGAGGGTTAGACATGTAAGACACCCTCCCGGGACTGAGGGACTGAGGCTAGTTGATCACAAGGGATCCTCGAGCACCTATTCTCGACATTTGCCCAATCCGAGTCTCCATCATTCAACGAGTACCCGCACACCCGAAAGGATTCATCGACCAAAATGACTTAATTAAAGGGTTCAGCAAGTCCTGTTGTCCAACGTTAGCCCTCAAACGCCCTTACGGGGACATCGGGCTCGCTCGAACCCCCCTCCCCACTCCCCCGAGAGGCCTAACGAGTAACATCGTACCACGAGTTGTGTCCGTCCTCGTCATCCGACGCACGACGCACAATGGAAGATATTAAAGAGTTAAGGATGAAAAAAAATTATCAATTAGGTCACAACTGGCTATTCCACTTAGGATTTTCCCATCAGTAAGGAATCACCTTGTTAGAGACAAGGTAATAACTCGGGTTATTACCTTTTATAATCAGTTAGGAATTTGCAGACACATTGGAGGAAAATTGAGTTTGATCTTATAGCTGGATCACTATCTAAAGTGAAAAATTCTGGAAGGTTTCGAGGAAGAGTACCTAAGCTGAAGTTCCAAACTCTGCCAGATTGTCTCCCCGGTAGCATTTGAAAGAAGAATAAGATTTCCAATATTTAAAATCTGAGCTACTATGCACATCAACGTGCATTGATGGCAACAATGAGTGTGAAGGATGTTCCAAACTCTGCTAGATTGTCTCCCCAATAGCATTTGAAAGCAGAATATCTAAAAGCTGTGTGAAGGATGTTCCAAACTCTGCTAGATTGTCTCCCCAATAGCATTTGAAAGCAGAATATCTAAAAGCTGAGCAACTGAATTATTTGCCTAATCATTAGATATATTTGATGACAAAAGATATTGTTCTGTTCATCTAGGGCATGAAGATTACTATCCTCGGAAACTTTGAGCACCCCAAAAGAAGTATTGCGTAGGGTTCCTCTATGAGCGTGGGGTTCCCTTAAGCGTGGGGTCCCTCTATAAGCGTGGGGTTTCCTTGGGCGTTGGCCCCGCCCCTATATAAGCGTGGTGTCCCTCGGGCATGGGGTCCTCCCTAAGGCGTGGGGCTTATTAGTTGGCGTGGGGTCGGTTGGTTGGGTGTTGTGGTAGGTATGTTGGCGTGGGGTTGGTCCTAGGGCGTGGGGTTGGTTCGTTTAGGGTTTCTCCTTGGGCGTGGGGTTCTTCCTTAGGCATGGGATTTCAAGATGGGTGTGGGGTTTCTTCCTTGAGAGTGGGGTTCTTCCTTGGTCATGGGGTCCCTCTTTAAGCGTGGGTTTTGAGCTTAGGCGTGGGGTTTCAGGATCGGCGTAGGATTGATACATTAGGCGTGGGGTATCAGGATGGGCGTGGGGTTATTCCTTGGGCGTGGGGTTTGAGTTTAGGCGTGGGGTTCTTCCTTGGGCGTGGGGTCCTCTCTTTAGGCTTAGGGTTTGAGTAACGTCGTGAGGTTTCTTCCTAGAGCGTGGGGTATGAGATTAGGCGTGGGGTTGGAGTTTGGGCGTGGGGTTTCATCTTGGGCGTGGGGTTTGAGCTTGGGCGTGGAGTTTGAGCTTGGGCGTGGGGTTTGAGTTTGGCGTGGGGTTCTTCTTGGGCGTGGGGTTTGAGGGTTGGGCGTGGGGTTTGAGCTTGGGCGTGGGGTTTGACTTGAGCTTGGGCGTGGGTTTGACTTGGGCGTGGAGTTTCTTCATTGGGCGTGGGGTTTCTTTCTAGGGCATGGGGTTCTTCATTGGGCGTGGGGTTGATACAGTAGGCGTGGGGTTTGAGTTTTGGGCGTAGGGTTGATACAGTAGGCGTGGGGTTTCTCCTAGGGCGTGGGGTTTCATGATGGGCGTGGGGTTCTTCCCTGGGCGTGGGGTTTGAGCTTAGGCGTGGGGTTTCTCCCAGGGCGTGGGGTTTTATGATGGGCGTGGGTTTCTTCCTTGGGCGTGGGATTTGAGCTTCGGCGTGGGGTTTCTCCTAAGGCGTGGGTTTCTTTCTTGGGCGTGGGCAAGGGGTCGTGTGGCGCATGCATCGCCTGGTTGAAAAGCCAGTGGCACAAAACTACCGTGTGCTGGATTATGACTAAACGCCTCTAAGTCAAAATCCGGGCCAGAAGCGACGCATGCGCCCACCGCTCGATGCCGTCCTACAGTAGGGGTTTTGGCACGTGTCGTAGGCTAAGCTCGCGCGGTGGACACTGAGATTCAGCCCTATGTCACTTCGATTCGTCCCTCCCCCCCCCCCACCCTATTCCCTAAAAACACTTATATTTTAGAAAACGAAGTTAGCGATGCATCTCGTATGCTAAAAAGGCTAAGTACGGGATTAAGAGGTGTTACAAAGCCTAAGTGTTTGGATGTTGGATTATACAAGTGGGCAAGGGGTCGTATGGCATGTGCATAAGACATGTGCACCCAAAGACAAGGCATACCAGGTTCCGAGCACTATTTACGACTCCCAAGGCCCTTAAGACATGAAGTTTAAGGATAAATTAGATGGTTCCGGACACTGTTTATGACTCCCAAGGGCCTTTGGGAACCCAAGGAAGTACTTAGATGCATAATCTCGCCGGGTGAAAAAAATGATATACGGAAGCCAAATATGAAGGCTATAAAACACGGAATCGGAACAATTTAGGATGTGTCGGGACCTGGTGTAGGAATTTCACGGAACATTACAGGATGCATCCCGGGGACATATAATATTGTTTCGACCCATATATGACCATTATTCGACTGCGTACAAGCCCCGTGAAAGCTTATAGCCAATACAGGAGGAGTGTACGAAAACGTGTAAATGGATCGTTTTAAGGCAAATTGGATGGTTCCACCCACCTAATTGGACTCCCGGAGGGTATTAGGGACCATTATAAACATCTCGGTAATTTTTATTTTCAGGCGAAAAAATGTCAAAATTTTCCAAAATTGAAAGCTATTATAATGCCGTTTAAGGAATTTTTTAGATTACGGGGCCCGGTGTCTAAAAGTGTTGAGACCCTAGGGGATACATCTTAGGGTCATATAATGCCGTTTGGAACCATATATAACCATTAAATGATGTCATAAATGTCCGTGGTAGGCTTGAGTTCACAAAATCGGTGCAAGTTGCGAATTAACAAATTGACCGTTTTAAGGAAAATTGGATGGTTCCACCCACTCAATTGGAATCCTGGAGGGTATTAGGGACCATGGTAAACGACTCGCCAATTTTTATTTCCGGGCAAAAAAAAAGTCAAAAAATTCCAAAATTAAAGGCTATTATCCACGCTTTTTGAGGAATTTTTGAGGTTACGGGGCCCGGTGGTGAAAAGTATTAAGACCCTAGAAGATACATCTTAGGATCATGTAATGTAGTTTGGAACCATATATGACCATTATATAATGTCATAAATGTCCGTGGTAGGCTTGAGTTCACAAAATCGGTGCAAGTTGCGAATTTGTAAATTGATCGTTTTAAGGCAAATTGGATGGTTCCACCCACTCAATTAGACTCCCGGAGAATATTAGAGACCATAGTATACATCTCGGAAATTTTATTTTTGGGCGAAAAAAGTAAAAAAAATTCCAAAATTGAAAGCTATTACCCATGCTTTTTGAGGAATTTTTGAGGTTACAGGGCCCGATGGCGAAAAGTGTTGAAACCCTAGGGGATACATCTTAGGGTCATATTGTAACACCCCAATAATTATTTCTTTAAATCTGTGAGGACCCTGAACAATATTCAAGAGAATTACTTGGCGTGTTACCGCCACGTGTTCAAACGTTAAGGCTTTATCAGAAAATAGCAGCGGAAAAACTAAATCAATTATAAATAAGTTTCAAAACCAACGAATGAAACCAAATTAATTCATACAACTTGGAACCATTAAGGCCCTTATTCAAAACCCAATAAAAGTAGTAAGCGATTAAATTGAGTGTTCAAATAAATTCAAACCCAAAAGAAATAGTGTCGAATAAAATCGAATTAAAATAAATTCAAACTTGCAAAAGAAATAAAATGCAAACAACCAAATCTCTACTCAAGATCCCACAACCCTGATGAATGCTGCATGTGTAAGAACCTGTGGTAATTCTGCTCCCCAATATTACAAGTGTAAAAATTGGATCGTCACAGGGTCATTGAAAGGCGAAGGCCATGACCAAAGAAAGACACACAAAGCACGCAATCAGCAAAGCTGAGTACATACAAGCTGCGAAATAAATTAAGAAATCCATAACATGCTACTAATAATCAATCATCATGCATCATTAAATTATAGACTCAACACACGACTCAACTATTTATATTACTAAGACTGCATTAATTAATAATAGGTAAATCATTATTTTTATTCATTGGATTACGCAATAGACAAGGTTGTCCAATCCATGCTCCATTTGGAACATCAATAAAAGAAAAACCTCATGCCTCCTTTCGGAAACATCAATAAACATCCAACGACCACGGGCGCGACTCCGTGACCGTAGTTAGTATGAGATCTCACCTAACTCCTAGTTTTGAAAAATATTTGAAATAAGAGACTCGTAGATCAGACGGCCTCGAGAAAAGTACACGGCTAATACCCCATGTACCCCAACCCCTGATTGTCATTACTCCAGAAGTGCACCAATCCAGAGTTTTATTGCTCATCCATCTTGCACTTTACGTGATTTACAGGTTTAGACTTGGTGATGACTCATATGCATAACAATACAATCAATCCAATATCAATTTAATCAAGTAAAACAACTTTTCAATTTCAATTCTTGATTTATTAGTGGCAAGCAACATTTATTATTTATTCTTTTACTACCTCGGTGTATAAACACCTTGAGTGCATAAGGCACCCCAAAACCTTAACCTCGTCTTAGAAGACTTAAATTCTTCCTTTACTCATCCTGCTTGCATAATCATGAATGAATAATAAATTAATCATTACACCAATCATATACCTTTGCCTCTAAGCGCACCTTGCATAATTAGAGCACAAATAATACTTGCAATATAAAATAGTGCACGTCATACGAAATTCACAATGTATAACCAAACAATTTAACTCAGTCATCCCTATACATGATACTAAGTTCTCGATCCGTCGTCCTTAAACATGCGCCTAAAAGAAAGGTTTCGTAACTTGTACGTACCTTGAGCAAACGAATTGGTATGCCACTTTACTAACTAGAAATCACCTTCAATAAACTCCTCTCCTAAGCCAAATAATATCTCAATCAATACCCAATCAATCAAATTTACAGCAATACTAACTTACTTTAAAACCTTCAAAATCCAAATCAAACAACACTTTAAAACCTTCCCTTTAGTTAAAATTAAAGGCTTATATATAGTTCTTTAAATTTTCTTCATAAAAACCTTAAACTACACTCTTATACATGAAATTACAGCAAGTTCAAAGTCTAATAAAAATCTGAAAATTATATAAAAACCCCTAAAAATCTCCCTTTTTAATGGGTGATTAAACCCTCTTTATAAAATATCAAAAGTAGTACTTAGAAACTATTTCCAACACTTAAAACTTCAATAAAAACATATATTTATGCTTAATTAACTTTAAACATAATTAATTTTATTAATCAAACTCAAGGATAATATTTTAAGTATAAAAAAACTTCGTTAAAATAAAAAAAACTGCCCGAAAATCATATTTAGAGGCTGAATTTGGCCACGAGAGGGTGGTGCGTACTACCAAAGGTAGTGAGTCTTTCTTAAAACGTTGTTTCCACATGGAAAAAACTGATATGGTTGGAATTAGTTAAATGAACTAATTCAATTAATAACTCATAGTTATGTAATAATTGGAAATTTGTTAGATATTTGTTGCAAGTTGTTAGTAAGTGGGAAGTAGTGGAGTAGTTAGTTATTTCCTTTAAGTGGAATTATAACGTGTAACCCACTACAATAAATATGAATAGCTGTACCGTAGCTGGTAATCAATTTTTTTTACAGAATTAATTCATTTCTTCTTCTCTCTTCAGTTCCCCTCTGTTTCTCTATCTCTCTTTCTCTCTCTTCTTTTCCCAATTACCCATATTTCCGCCATTGGAGAAGTTTCAAGCTACCTCCATTATCATTGGTATCAGAGCACTCTTACTGTACCTCTACAGTGAGCGGTTCTGGCGCCTCCTCCTGTGACTCGACGAGTTGCTGCAATGGAAGACCAAATCAAGAATCTGGAAAAACGAATTGATGATCAAATTTCAAGATTCGATCAGAAAATTGATGAGATGTTGAAGATGATGCAGGCGATGCAAGCTGAGAAGGTTTCAACCCCTTCGAGCTCCGAACCCTCTTCTCCAACATACTCTAATGGCAATTTGAGCAGGTCCAATTCCACTAGGACCTTAGGTATGAACCCTAAGCTTGAACTTCCTAAGTTTAATGGTGTCAATCCTCGGATTTGGGTTAAAAAATGTTGCAAATACTTCAATCTTTGCAAAATTGCTGATGATCAAAAGGTGGATTTGGCCTCATTGAATATGACTGATAAGGCTGAACATTGGGTGATGAATTATCTGTCTATTAGAAGGTCAGTTGTTGTTGATTGGAATGACTTTGTTGTGGATTTGTATGCACGATTTAGGGTAATTCTGCTTTAGATGTTGTTGAGCAGTTCAATAGATTGCAACAATTAGGGTCTATTGAGGGCTATATTGATGAATTTGAGAAACTTAGATCTGTAATGCTGATGAATAATCATATACTACCTGATGCTTATATTTTGGAGAGTTTTGTGGGAGGGCTTAAACCAGCTGTGAAACCCTTTGTTAAGGCGTTTAAACCAGCGACTATTGCCCAGGCAGTGGATTTTGCTAGGCTACAGGAGGAATCTCTGAGTTCCATTCATACATACAACCGTTCTAAGCCATTCTCTTATACATCAAAAAAACATAAATAGCCCAAACACATTACCCCCATTGTTACCTACCCCTTCTTCTAAGCCTACCCTACCAGCTTTGACACAATTTCCACACAAGAACAAAAACTATAAACATATACCAGCTGATGTTAGACAGGAGAAGATTGCTAAAGGACTGTGTTACTACTGTGACCAGCCTTATACAAGAGAAAATCAGTGCCAATTTAAGAAACCTCAGTTGTTTACAGTTGAAATTCCTGGATCTATTGATTCTGAAAGTGATGAGGATTTGGGATCTTTTCCTAATTCCATTGATGAACCTCAAATCTCTATGCATGCTCTTGCTGGAAATCAGTCTTTTCAAACTATGAGAGTGATAGGCAGAATTCAGGGAAAGGATTTACACATTCTTATTGATTCTGGAAGTACACACAACTTTGTGGATGCTTCTGTAGCTTCTAAGTTGGGTTGTTCTTTGGAGCAGATTCCTTTCCAGGCTATCTCTGTAGCAGATGGGAATCATATTCCTTGTCAGCAAGCTTGCAAGGGGTTTGCTTGGAGTATGCATGGCCATAATTTTGAAGCAGATGTGTTGGTCATTCCCTTAGGGAGTTGTTATATGGTGTTGGGAATACAATGGTTAAGAATGTTGGGTTCTATTCATTGGGATTTTCAGAAGCTTAGAATGGAGTTTACTTTTCAGGGAAAACAAATTGTTCTTAAAGGTATACCACCTAAAAATTTGTCTGTGGTAGAAGGAGATCCTAGAGCCTCAATCATGGATTCTTCAATCCAGTTATGTTTGTTGCATGTTCAAGATTCTAATTGCTTTGTTGGGCAGATGGAACAGGACACTAATACAGTTTTGAGTAATTCTGAATTTTTGGCCATTAAACAGCAGTATGCTAAGGTTTTTGAGGAACCTTCAGCTTTAACACCTGTCAGGGGTGTATTTGATCACTCTATACCTTTGATACCAGGCAGCACACCTGTTAATATCAGACCCTACATGTATCCCCTTAAACAAAGGGATATAATTGAACAATTGGTGCAGGAGATGCTAGATAGGGGCATCATCCAAAACAGTTCAAGTCCTTTTGCTTCCCCTGTTGTGTTAGTGGGTAAGAAAGATGGAACTTGAAGGCTATGTGTAGATTATAGGGAATTGAATAACAGAACTGTGAAAAATAAGTTTCCTACCCCTGTAATTGATGAATTGATAGATGAACTTGTTGGGGCTTCTGTGTTTACTAAGCTTGATCTTAGGGAAGGTTACCATCAAATGAGAGTAAGCTCAGCTGATGTGTTCAAGACAGCCTTTAAGACCCACACTGGCCATTATGAGTTTTAAGTTATGTCTTTTGGCTTAACTAATGCTCCAGCTTCTTTTCAAGGTTGGATGAATCATGTCTTTAGGCCTTTACTTAGGAAGTGTGTTTTGGTGTTTTTTGATGACATCTTGGTCTATAGCAAGTCCTTAGAAGATCATTGGAAGCATTTAGCTGAGGTATTTGAATTGATGCAGCAGAATAATATGTTTGCTAAAGAGAGCAAATGTATATTTGCTTCATCAAGAGTTGAGTATTTGGGACATTATATTACTCAGAATGGTGTTGAGACAGATCCCAAGAAAGTAGCAGCAGTGAGCAGTTGGCCTGTTCCTTCAAATGTCAAAGAATTGAGAAGTTTTCTAGGTCTAACAGGCTATTATAGGAAATTTGTGAAGGGATATGCTGTTATTAGCAAGCCTTTGACTGATCAACTTAAAAAGTCTGGTTTTTCTTGGAATGAGCATGCTCAGGAAGCTTTTGAGAAGCTTAAATCTGCTCTAGTTTCAGCCCCTGTGTTGGCCATTCCTAATTTGACTTGCAGTTTGTTTTGGAGACTGATGCTTCTAAGTATGGTATTGGTGCTGTTCTGATGCAGGAAGGTCATCCATTAACCTATATTAGTAGGTCACTGGGAACAAAGTGGCAAAAACTATCAGTTTATGACAAAGAGTTGCTAGCTATTGTGTTTGCAGTTCAAAAATGGGAGCAGTATTTGGTTGGTGCACATTTCATCATAAAAACAGACCAAAAGAGTTTAAAATGGTTACTTCAACAGAAGATCTCCACACCCTTTCAACAATTTTGGCTTTCAAAATTAATGGGGTTTGATTATGAAATTCAATATAAGTGTGGAAAGGAGAATGTAGTTGCAGATGCATTGTCAAGGGTTCAAGGCTTAGAGATCTTGTTTATGGCTGTTTCTTTGGTTGACTCTAATTTGGGTTCTATGATTACTGCCAGTTATAACTTGGATGACAATTATACTGCTATGATTCAACAGTTACAGAACCAGGTGGGAATTACTGATTTTAAATGGGAAGGCAATTTGCTTAAAAGGAAGGGCAAAATTGTTGTGGGACCTGATCTTCAGCTTAGAAACAAAATTTTGGCATGGCATCATGACTCTCCTGATAGTGGACATGGTGGCAGGGAATTGACCTTAAAAAGGGTAAAGAAATTGTTTTACTAGAAGGGTCTTACAAAGGATGTTAGTGCTTTTGTGAGGAAGTGTGTAATTTGTCAGGCTGCTAAATATGACACAGCTGCATACCCTGGTCATCTTCAGCCTCTACCTGTTCCAGAAGAAGTTTGGATTGATATTTCTATGGATTTCTTTACTGGGATCCCTAAATCTGCTGGAAAAGATGTGATTTTTTTTTGTGGTGGATAGATTTAGCAAATATGCCCATTTTATGGCATTGTCTCATCCATTTACAGCAATTCAAGTGGCACAGTGCTATTTAGATAGTGTGTTCAAGCTCCATGGGTGGCCTAGATCAATTGTGAGTGATAGAGACTCAATTTTTGTTAGTCAGTTTTGGAGGGGTTTGTTTTCTTTGTATGGAACAGACTTGAAGTTATCCACAACTTACCATCCTCAAACTGATGGACAGACTGAGGTTGTTAATAGGTGCTTGGAAGCCTATTTGAGGTGTATGACTGGAGATGAGCCTCAGGAATGGCATAAATGGCTACCCTTAGCTGAATGGTGGTATAACACACATTTCCATTCGGCTTTACAACTAACTCCTTATGAGGTGGTCTATAATCAGCCTCCACCTTTACATCTTCCTTATCTTGCTGGTGAAGTCAAGAATGATGAACTTGGCAGGAGTTTACAGAGAAGGGAAAGGATGATTTCTGAGCTTAGATTTCACCTGAAAAAGGCTCAGCAGAGAATGAAGTCTCAGGCAGATAAACACAGATCAGAAAGAGTTTTTAAAGTTGGCGATTGGGTTTGGCTCAAATTACAGGCTTATAGGCAGTTCACTGTTCAACGAAGATGTAATTACAAACTTTCACATTAGTTTTATGGTCCTTTTCAAGTGGCTGCAGTTGTAGGGAAGGTTGCTTATAAATTGAAGTTGCCTTCTGAAGCAAAGATACATGATACATTCCATGTGTCTCAGCTTAAGAGTTTCAAGGGGCAGTTGCCTTTGGCTGCTCACATTCCTTCTGTATTTCAAGGCCAAATTGTGGGGTCAGAAGATATTCGTCCTGCTGCTATTTTGGATAGGAAGATTGTCAGATTTCAGAATAGAGCATAGGTTCAGTATTTGGTGCATTGGGAGGGATTTCCTGATTATGAAGCTACTTGGGAGTCTGCTGAGTATTTGGAGCGACAATTTCCTGATTTTGTTCCAGCTTCGATTTGAGGTCAAGTCTGTTAAAAGGGGAAGGCTATGATATGGTTGGAATTAGTTAAATGAACTAATTCAATTAATAACTCATAGTTATGTAATAATTGGAAATTTGTTAGATATTTGTTGCAAGTTGTTAGTAAGTGGGAAGTAGTGGAGTAGTTAGTTATTTCCTTTAAGTGGAATTATAACGTGTAACCCACTACAATAAATATGAATAGCTGTACTGTAGCTGGTAATCAATTTTTTTTTACAGAATTAATTCATTTCTTCTTCTCTCTTCAGTTCCCCTCTGTTTCTCTATCTCTTTTTCTCTCTTTTCTTTTCCCAATTACTCATATTTCCGCCATTGGAGAAGTTTCAAGCTACCTCCATTATCAAAAACTACTTTTTCATCAAAATCGGATGAGTTCAGAATCTGATCGGGATTAAAACGGGAATAATATTAACGAACGAAAATCTAAAAATTAAAACACGAATTTACATGTTCAAAATAATCTGGAATTAAGTTTAAACTAATCATTATTTATAATCACCAAAATTTCAAAACATCATTACTATAAAAGCCCTAAATCAATTGTTCATAAAAACCTTAAAATCATGATTTTCAATAATTAAAAACCCTAGGTTATAAAATTTACAAAATCTGAAAATTATGATACTTATAAAATCTGAAATTATAAAGTTTAGTCATCAAAATACAAATTGATACTAATTAAATTACTTTCAAACAATAAAATCAAAATCCATAAATCAATAATTATAATTATACAAATTAATAAAACAAAGGAGAGAGAAAATAAGACTAACCTTTTTGTGTGGGAAATTTTTGGGGATTAATGGGGTATTTATAGGAGAGAATGTTGTAGGGTAAGTAAGAAGATTGTGCCTCATAAAATTATTGGGCCAATTAGGTAAATGAAATGGACTAGGCTTTGTTTGTATGATCATGAATTGTAGAACAATAGGTTCATAAAATAGTTTGTGCTAAAATAATTTTTGACCAATATTAATAATTTGAAACTTTTGAAATTAATTATGAAAAATAACAAATAAATAAAATAAATTTTCATTTATAAAATATTTAAAAATATGGGGGATTACAATCTACCCCTCTTAAAAGAAGTTTCGCCCTCGAAACTTAACCTAAAAGCCATAAATTTTCCAAAACCATTCAAACTTTTGTGTTTTATATTGCTGTAAATTGATTGATTCTCAACATGCACACTCAACAACAAACTGAACTTTATGCTTAATAGACTCGTACTTGGCCAAAGTTTACATACTTTAATTGCATGTAAATACAACAATAGTGCATATTAATAAGCAAAATAATGCAAACTCAAGCAATAAATAGCATAATTTAGGTAAAAAGCGCGAAATTACATCGCATTCTACCCCTCTTAAAGAAAAGAGTTACGCCCCCGTAACTCACCTCAATAACATCATTAGGCATTTCTTTTTCATTTCTTCTTTCTGCAATAATTTATCCATAACTTGTTATTCTATAATTTCCTCAAATTTGAATAGTTCAATTCATAGGCACTCAATAATCCCTTTAGCTCTCCTTAGCTAACAACCGAAGGCTATTAAGATCTGTAAAAATCTTACAGGTGACACTGTATGTCGAATGAATCTCCAATGTAAACAATATATACGCAATCTCAAGATCATGGTAGGGTAATTGGTCTCATAAGATTTGTCTTGGCAAGAAGCATTATCATTTTTCCATTTTGTTGCAACACACATCCATTAAGTAAAAACTTCAAGTCCACAACTCCCATTAGGCAAGACTAAAACAAGTGCAATGATTAAATGTTTTTTAAGAGTTAAAAGGCTTGTTTACACTTCTCATCCCATTCAAACTAACTCTCTTTCATCAAGGTATATACAACAATCCTCAAAAGTCCTTCACAACCCTCTTTAAACATCTAATCCCAATAAACTCCTTATATCGGTCACATTGTTAGGTGTAGACCACTTACTCACCACTTGAATTTTTGTCCCAAAATGTAACTTTCAGTCATTAATAAAACTCACACTTCGAAAACTTAGCATATTACAAGTCGTCCCTAAAATGTCACAGAATCCTCAAATGTCTATTATAATCATACTAACTCCTCAAGTATAGCAAGATATAAAATCATAAATTTATCGAATGACTGTACTCATGAAATACTCAATTCATTAAATCCATAATGATTGTTAATACATTAATTAACCCAAAAGGCCTGATTTATATTTCCATGTTTATGAATCCATGGGCTCCTCAAAATTTTCTTCTCTCCAACTCGGTTTTCAAATTCTCCCAACGAAAGTCAATTGTCTCACAAATCGTATCCCTATTCTCTTTCCACCAAAGTTATGCTCCTCAAATTCTCATGGCAATTCAAAACAACAAAAACTCATCTTTCACTACCTAGTTCTGCAGAAAAGCAGGGTCTCCACTCTCCTTAAAGTATGCGGCTTGACCAAAGAAAAATTCATACACTCCTCTCGCGTAGTTTATCATCACCAAATATATATATTTCATCAATTTTCCAAGTACATTCCTAATTTGATCATAAGGTTTCTCAAATAAACACTCATTGGTTGCAAAAATTGAAGGAGATATCAAATAATAAAAATATAGATCTTACCAATAACCTAAAGCACCAAAT